TTTAAGATAGGATTACTCGAAGCGCACGGATATGGAAAACACGAAAGTCAAACAAAACTGAGAGGTTGCAGAAAATACGAGTTCATGAGCCTACCCAGAACATAACCCTTTTCCTGCGTTTCTCTCGGACACTTGCCTCCAGTGGAACTCAATGATGATGCTTCGACTATTGAGAACTTACTAGCCGGATCACATCAGATCGTACAAAGCAAAGCTGAGGGCCATCTTCTAAGTCAGATGGCACACTATTCGCTCGCAAATCGCGCGATTCGCTGACAACTGGTCACAATGTCTGACTGAATAATCACAAAACCTGGAGCTACAATATAGTCCTCCGACATTCTTGATGTTTGCTTCAAAACAATGAAAATTTCAAATATGATGGCCAGTTCGTCACGCAAACGACGTGGAAGATTCTGTCATTCTGCAGCAAGAACCAGATAAGGAAAACGTACTTATTCAGTAAGTTTTGAAATCGTAAATCGCACTTGAAAAAAGGAGGGTCACTTCTGCCAACAAAAGAAAATAAGTCAAAAACGGTCAGCCAACGCTTTCAGGCAGCTAACAAAACAATACATGCCAACACTTGTAAAATCCGTTAAACCTTTCAGGACTACAGCAGTCAACAAAACAAAACATGTCAACAACAACAACTCCGCTTCCTATTGATAGCCAGAAGCTTCACTTCAACGCTACTGTCGAGCGTATTTTTTTTGTTTGTTAGCTGAAATTTTCCCTGAATTTTTTCATCCTGTCAACTGCCTGAAAGCTTCATCAGATAGGCTGGTGTCAGAGTCCGCGATCCGTCGCAGGTTTCGCTGATTTTCGCGATTTGCGCGATTTCGCGATTTGCGCGAAACCTGCGACGGATCGCAAAAATTGCAAGTGCCCCATTTGAACATTTGAAACACTGAATATGAAACAAGTGGAATCATGAGCAGTCGTCATTCAGCCATCACTATCAAGCAGAAGTGGCGGCAGGATTGGAGAACACCTTGCAGTATTGATCGGGCACTTGTGATTTCCGTGACCCGTCGCGTGAATCGCGCAAATCGCGAAAATCAGCGAAACCTGCGACGGATCGCGGACTCTGACACCAGCCTAAGGATCGCAGCAGCAAAAGCCACGCCATTCAGGAAATCTTCTCGAACTATTTATTGTAGCACGTGTGAGGTTTTCACGTTCCTTTTGTTTTTCTACTTGCAAAATCAGCGCATTTCTCAGCTGAATATCTCCTTCAGGACAAAAGATGAGTAAAAGCTCAGATAAACGGTAGTTAACAAATCAAATCATGTTAGAAACCGTAGATAAGCTTCCTCGTGATAGGCACAGGGAAGCCTTATTCCAGCGCTTATTCGTTTTTTGATGTGACTCGTCTGTTAGTGCTGTGTTCCTTTTTTCTAACTGTTTCAAAGCTGCAAGCGTACATTACAGTTGGATTCGGCTTTTCTGCGGCTGCGACAAACACAAAATATCAAATGGCGTACGAAAACTCGTTTTATATCTAACTTGAGAAATGGCTACCTGACAGAGGGCTCCCCAGCCGACAGCACGTATGACACAATATTTTGCACTTTGTGCATTAAAACTAAGACAATGTGTTGCAAAAAGCTAACAACTGCAAGTGAGGACGGAAAAGGACCAGAATAGCAATACGAGTAAAAATGAAAAAATCAGCCTTCGGAAGCAGACAGGTCAACTCACACGCAAGGAAGCGTGAAATGCATGAATATAGACCCCGTGAACCACGAAGAAGCTTCGGCGAATGAAACAGGCACCTCCGCGTGTAATCACAGTTTGCCGATAACGAAGGAATTCAAGGTGAACCGGATCTCGGAGCTCAAGAGAAAATTCAAATCGGTTCGGATGATTCAAATTCAAAAACGTCCCGCTCGAAGCAAACTTGAATTAGAGCGCGATATTCGCCAGCGGATGGATTCACGCCCCTTCGAATGCTACTTTTTTTCGTCTTGTAGTTCAAATTGAAGCCCTATTCTGTCTGGCAGCGCACTGAACAATTGATGTGCTGGCAGTTGCGAAGACAAGTACGTGTTCACCCTTTTCCGAGATTCTAAAATTGATAATCATTGTTATCATGGTTTTTAAGTGCCTTAAGCTACACTCAATCGCGGGGTTTGGAAGATGAAATTGTTCAGCGCACCGTGGAAATTCTCCCACTCCCCCACTGAAAGCTCAATTCCGATTTTTAGGATGATGTTTCAGGAAGGTTTTGAATGGCCGATGTCAGAGTCTGCGATTGGAGCGATCCGGTCAAATGTGAATCGCGCGACCATCGCGCGATTCGCGCGACGATCGCGCGATTGGCACATTCCTCCATCATGACCAATCGCTCCAATCGCGCGATGGGCGCGATCACTCCCGTTGTGGCTGGCGCGCCCCTCTCGATCGATACGTTGACTGACGTATCGATCGAGAGGGGCGCGCCAGCCACAACGGGAGTGATCGCGCCCATCGCGCGATTGGAGCGATTGGTCATGATGGGACTCATGTCAATCGCGCGATCGTCGCGCGAATCGCGCGATGGTCGCGCGATTGGCATTTGACCGATCGCTCCAATCGCAGACTCTGACATCGGCCAATGCATTGCCACGACAATTGCATCCGTATCTTGCAATAGCGCTTCAGCCGCAAATTTAAGCTGCGTTTGCTTGCCGAGTGTCCGTCTAGCGATTTCGTCCTACTTTCTCAATTAGATACTTCACGACACAAATTTAACTCCTTCCTTTTATATTCTAAGTCGCCCTCAACGTTCACACCGATTCTTTTTTGCTTTTCCAGGTTACGAAAGTTCGGAAGTACGCGAAACAGAGTGAAAACAATTATAGAGTAACGAAACATTTAACTACACAAGTAATATACATTAGCAAACTGGCACATGAATGAGTAAGAACATAACATATACTAGCGTTAGAAGTCTAAAGTGCCTTGTACAGAAGCCCCAATCCACTACATTAGCTATTCAATGGCCTCTCGAAGTGCGTGTGGGGCCGTTAGCGTAAAACACTGAAAATGATGCAACGTCAAAATTTCGCAATGTCAAGGATCTAGCGTTAATCATTCTAATTACAATTCATTTGATTTTTTCACAGGCTCTTTTAGTAGCATCACAGACCAGGAAAGAACTAAGTTCCGCCATGAAACATCAGTATTTGAGCGTTGAAATAATGTTGCGCACTTCACCTCCTCCAAGGCACTCCCTGCCATCGTAGAACACACAAACCTGAAGATTATTATTTCATATAAAAATGTTCAATTAATCTGTTATAATAGTTAATATTTGGAAATATAGAAGAAGTAAGCAATAGAAAGGGAACACTTTTGCAAACATTTTTCTTAGTCCCATTTAGAGTTTTGTGCTCTTCTACAAGTTTTGTAGAATTTTGTACAATTATTTGTATTTTATATACCTGCCCATCAGCCACAGCTCTCAAGTGGAAATACCGGTTTAATCGACAGCAGGCTTTGTCCAATGCGCTTCACATGACATCGGATTGGCTGATGTGTACGTTGAATTCGACATTCAAGCGTCGTTTCATCTGTATCTGAAAACTAGTTCGTGATCATACGGTAAATCTAACAGCTATGGGTGGCCATCAGTACAGCAAAACAGCCACTCGAGTACTGCGCTGTCGGTTTATAGCTGGTCGTGTCGACTAATATCTTCTTGGAATGGGGATGTGGTCACTAGGACAGAAAGCGAATTTTTCGCTTTTCGCACGCGAAACATTTTTCGCTGCAGGAACCCCAGGTCCACCCATGATCAGCGGTGGACCTGAGGTTCCCGCAGCGAAAAAAGTTTCGCGCTGCGAAAAACGGGAAATTCGCTTCTGTTCTAGTGAACCACACCCTTGGAATGGTACAAAGGTACGCGTCCATTTTTTGGTAAAATATTAATATTTTCTGTTCATTTCATAATGAACGACGGGTGTGGTTCACTAGGACAGAAAGCGACTTTTTCGCGTTTCGCAGCGCGAAACATTTTTCGCTGCGGGAACCTCAGGTCCACCGCTGATCATCAGTGGACCCGAGGTTCCCGCAGCGAATCATCAGTGGACCCGAGATTCCCGCAACGAACAATGTTTCGCGCTGCGAAACGCGAAAAAGTCGCTTTCTGTCCTAGTGAACCACACCCTGGAACGACCAATATCTGTTGCGCCATGCATGAGCCTTCCTCCCTAGTCGTAAGAGCATCAATATTGATGAGATAATTAAAAATGTAAATATTCATTCCACCTGCAAGAGGATTTCTGCTTATCCATTGCGGCTCAGACAGGCAAAAGTCCGTCGCGTAGAGTGAGGGATGATGAGAGCCTTCGCACTAAACCTGTTGTACCATTAGATTTATTGCAAGCAAGGAAATGTTGCTTGCTGCATTGTTTCATCTTACCGCATAGACAATCCTATTTTCGGTATCAATACGGGCAACAAAATATCCTAGATGGCTTCCTTGTATGGCTATCCTCTTGCCCAGTGTGAAATGGTGAACACCTTCATGATGACCGATATGCCTTCCGTCCAGTGTGAGAATTTCACCTGGGCAAGGCTCGATATACTAAACAGATCGTGAATCTATTGTATGACTTACTAAACAGGTCAAATTCCCTACCTGATCTAGGAAATCTTCGAAGTTTTTCCTCTTTCCCACAAAACAAATACCCATACTCTGAAAAAGATAAACAAAAGGTACTTCATGCCACCCTTGGGAAAACTGCAGTAGGAAACACCTCGGGCTTTTCAGCGATTTCATGAAGGCCCTGTTCTCGTGCGATTCGACGGACTTCCGTTTTCGTGAACGATCCAAGCGGGAACAAGGCCCGTTTCAGTTGTTCCTGATTCAACGTACTCAAGAAATACGTCTGATCTTTCAGTGGATCAATTCCGCATAGGAGTTTTATACCTTAATATTGTTCAAAACGAGCTGCAACTTATGTTTTGTGTATTCTTTATCTAACCTGGATTCTGGTTGGCGTTTTTCCTGAAAGTCTCCGTATGATGTGCTCGCATAGTGTCCAGTTGCAACAAGATCAGCTCCGAGTTCATCAATTGCATGACGGTGTAGGCGATCAAATTTAATATGTCTATTGCAAGCGATATCAGGCACAACAGTCCGTCCACGGCGGTAGTTCTCCAACATAGTTCTAAAATTAATGGGGTTCTTTAGTTGCAGCACCACTTCATCTATAACTGGAACTGCAATTCCCGAGTTAGGTGATGGGGTATTCGGGAAAGGATCAATTGTCATCAGTTTTAAGGATATCGAGAGGATAAGATAATCTGTAAATTCTAAGTTGCCCACGACTGCACAGGCAGTTGTTGCATATGACGAGACTACAGTCGACTATTTCGGGTCTTTTAACCACGCAAATGAGTACTTACACAAATACGTCATTCCAGTATTCCTTGACAAAATTGACCGTACTGAAGGGAATGTTAATCTTCTCGCATACATGTCGAGCATCCGCTTCATCCTTCGTTCGCGGGCACGTGGCAGATCCTTCTTCGACAGGATCCCAATTGATCTATAAAAAGAAGCTCGGTTCCAAGTAGTCATTCGAATGAAGTCAAGATTTGGCATGGGATGTTGTGGCTATATTCGTTTAGAGATAATTGAACAAATGCTGGCATACATTCTGGTCACTCTCAAATCTCAGGTTCACCCCGTTTATTCAGGTGTGCATTGTTAGTTCAGCCGCAGAGACGCGTAAATTTATCACGTAACGCGCGTCCAGAAGTCGCGCGGCAACCGAAGGGGGGGCATTCTGTGCGAATGAAAACCAGTAGATTTGGGAGGGGCGAGGGGTACCCGATAGAGGGCTCGTCGCGCGGCGAGGAGGCAGAGACGCAGACGGGTGCGGACGAGTCGCAGCGCATGGGTACATCCCACACTGCACAAATCACGCTGCGACGTTCGCTGATCCGTCGTGTTTCCATCTTCTGCGCAGGCGCGACGGGTTTCCTGTTGCGGTCGCTCCGGCGGAGGATTGCGAACGTCGGCGAAGGCCGCCGGAGGAGTGGAAGGGATGTCGCTTTAACGGACTGCCACGCTCAGCGGAAATATAGCAGCAGACGAATACGTAGGGTATGGGCTTCCCCTATTAGTCTGGACCCAAATTCAAACCATGAAATTCTTCGGTAAAGCCAACCATAAGGTGTAAGTCATCATGAGTCACTGCGGAACCGCCGCCCCGTGCTGCAAGGCACGGCGCATGCCACCTCTCGGCTGACTATTGAAATGACCATTTCTCGTTCGCAGAATCGCGCCAAGAGCCTGTCGCTCAGCAGATGTCCGCTTTTTCGTATTTAGACCGACGTCATAGTCGGCGACGGACCAAGCAATGGAGCGATCGCGATCACTCCATCGCTTGGTCCGCGTGCGACTATGAACGTCGGTTTAGCGAATGTTACAGGGTAGGACAATGCTGTCAGTGGTTCAACGATGCTCATCAACGGCTGAGCTCGCGCCGACTCGACAATGCGGGCAAGGGGGTGAGAACCTTCTTATGCGCAAGTTGACTATCGCCACTTTCCCCAGACCTCATGACCTCGTGAGCCTGAGAAAGTGACGAGTTTACGTGCGCATGAGAGGGATTCTCGCCACTTACCCGCACTATCGAGCAGCAGTTACATCGTTCAGACCGCTGGTGCACCCCTCGTACCCCGCGATTCGCTGGATTTGCAGAGTTACACCGACCTTAAAGAGTCCTTTGAGTTAACGTTTTGCCTCGTTGCCTTTATTCGACTGCGCTATGCTTGTTTACCCTTCAAAATGCTTGAGCAGCATTTGTCCTCAGTTCATGTAAGAACAGAGTAATTTTACAATGGATGGTTACTACAGCACCCAATCCGCAGAGGATTTATGTCGCGACCTGCAAATGATCGCTTTAAAGCAACAGTCCCAGCAGGGTTTTTACCTTCGACACTAATGGTGTGGAACGATGCGCTAGCCCTAGTCAAGAACATAAGAAGTGTGACTGAACAAAAACTCACCTTGGAAAGCCGCTAGAAAGGGAGCTGAACGGCTTCGAAGTGGGCGTGGTTGAATCGGCCTGCAATCCCCTCGGCCGATTCAACCACGCCCACTTCGAAGCCGTTCAGCTCCCTTTCTAGCGGCTTTCCAAGGTGTTTTGTTTAGTCACACTTCCGGTGGAAACCCTGCTACCACTGTTACTTCAAAGCGACGTCGCGCGTTAGGCTAACGTCCCATACCCAACACCAGTGACACTAAAGCAATTATTTTTTCCGAATTCATACGAAAATATCTACGAAATCGTACCATGTAAACACCGACGACGTCGAAGCCCTTCTTTTTTAGAAGCCATGCTGCTACTGCGCTATCAACTCCACCTGATATTCCAACAGCAACTCGAAGACGATTCATATTCAAATAGTTCCACAACGTATCCTATGTTCAGATGCATCGGAAGGATTGTTTTCTCGAACTTCCACTAACAGTAACGACACAGCATTTATATTTAGCTTATTTACGAGGGAAAATACCAACACTGCCTCTCCAAACAACAACAGATCTTAACATTTATAGAGAGCTGGTACAATAAACCCGTACACAAAGAGTGACTGCATCAAGCCTAGCAATTTGAAACAATCCTAGAACATAACAAAATAATCTTATCTACCTAGCTACACCTTAATTACATCTAATCAGCTAAAGAAAGAACATTATTGATCATTCATTTAATCTCTTTAGCTTCTGCTGCTTTTTTCTTTGCTTCTTCTAGT